CACTTTGGCAACTTACCACATACGTTTTAAAATGCTTAATAAGCACCGTAACTTTCATGATATAATTTCTCGCTCATAATCGGTTGTTTCCGTGAACGGCCGACTGTTGTGTGACGGCAAATGCTGCGGCTGCAATGCATTGTGGGGCAGCATTTTCTCCTCTCCTTTCGGTGAGGGAGGTCCAGTGGTTGTCACTGTCAGTACCCGATCTGCCTCCCTGCCCTATCTGCAGTGCGCATGTGCGAGATGGTCCGCCATATTTGACAACTACATACAGCAACAAGTCCTCCAACTCCAACAAGTCCTCCAACTCATACGACCAAATGGGCCGATTGTTCAGGCCCTTATTACGACCAAATATGTCGTTTGTTCAAGCGCTTAATACGTCCTATAATTACGTTTGAAAGTTTTCGCCCTCTAGTGCTCCCGTTGAATGCTAACGTTACAGATGGTCGTTTATTCACAAATAACCCTCTCTGTAAAATCCTAAATTGTAGGATAGTTTGGCCATTAAAACGCTTTTTGATTAGATTTCTAGCGAGAAGTGTATATTGTAGGCCTACCTTTGAATCCACGTCCAGTCGATATGTAGGATCTATAGTTTGATAGATATTGCGAAGATGATTTGAGGTATGCGGCAGCCTCCATGTAAAGTTACGGGTTGAAAACAGTATTTCCGGTCTCAACGTTTTCATAATAAAACCAATGATCAGATGATTTAACAGTGATATCTGCAGTACTCATCAACTAAAAAACATCAGTTTATCCTTGTTAATTAATTATACGACATATATTGGTTTAAATTGTGTACAATGCTTTTGTGTTTTTCCCATAGGTTTTTCTCTTTGGATTCTGAGAGACACCTTTCTTTTTTCAGATTGTATTGTATTCATCTTTAACACTGTTTGTTAGCATCTGCTTTTTCAGTTCATTCCATCCTGCAGTTTGAACTTTTTGAGATATAAAGCACAAATGACGCCTTCAGACCTGCAAACCTCAAGCTGACATTTGTTTGTGTTCTCCCAGAGCTTTGCTTGTGGAAACTGTGCGGGTTGAAGACGTTGTGTTGAAACGGCAAGAGAGCGTCTTGTTGTTGGTTTGAACTGCCTCCCACTGTTCCTGCTGCTGACAGATCTGAACCATACAATGTTATAATGTTAATACAGCATCATACAGAGGCCATTCTGGACCAACATGTATATGACACCACTGTTGTGCAACAACGATGTGCAATATGTTCTGCAAACATTATTACAACGGGCTGCTACTTTTTAGGTTGTCCAATCCAACAAGAATCGGTTTGTTATTATGTAAATATGTATTTACCACTGCAATCAACTCGCTACCACACAGTATTCTACAACTTATTTTATAAATACTGCTTACTTACTGATTTTCCCTGAATGTGTACTTTTGTACATTTATTTATTTTTATTTTAAATAATATGTGCATGCCTTTTGATCTAATAGTGTGTTATTTGTATTGTTCATTTCTATCTATACTGATGTTACCAAGTCAATTTCCCCTCTTTGGGAGGACTAAAGGAATTCTGATTTGACGCGCATGATGCAGACATAACTGCACTGTCAAAATGTAAACGTTGACTTTAATTAAATGTAACACATTTCACACAACTGTATTAGGTTTAATAATATCAAGTTTAAATAAAGAAATATATACGAGATTCAACTTAATATTATTGCTTTCAACTAACATAATAGATTAGTTGAAAATACTTTTGATTAAAGTCAATGTTTCACAGTGTGCTGCTGCTGTAGTGGTGTCATGCAAGGTATCCAATTCTAGAGACCCTGGTTCGATTCCCGGGCAGTTCAGGGTTTTGGGGGCAACAGTACCTGAGACTTGGGAACCAGTTTGAGTATTCGGAAATGAGGACTATCAAGAGATGTACTTACAGTATGAACAGTATGATGATGACCCTTCCTACATCCCGGACATGGTTAAACCGTACACCCCAGCACGTGCTCTGCATCAGCCAAACAGCTCGTTGCGCCCTCGCTGCGAGGGGGACCCAAGTTCCCATCAGCAAAAACACGTGGGTTTGCTATCCTGGCTCCAAAATGGTGGAATGAGCTCCCCATTGACATCAGGACAGCAGATAGCTTACACACCTTCCGGCGCAGACTGAAAACTCATCTCTTTCGACTCCACTTCGAGCGATAGAACTATTAACAAAGCACTTATATACTAATAAAGGACTGGCTTTTCTAAAGCCAGTTGAGTAGCACTTGAAATGTTTTAGCTCTATGAAACCTGATGTACTTATATGATTCTGCTTTCTTCAAGTTTGTATCTTGTTGGTCGAACGTACTTATTATAAGTCGCTTTGGATAAAAGCGTCAGCTAAATGCAATGTAATGATGAACATACAGAATGTGAGTGGTGACGCTTCAGAGCTCAGCAGTTCAACAGTCAGTTAATAGCTTATAGTCTCACAGCTGTATCTCTCTACTCATGTCAGTTCCTCTGATCCAGCTGCTTAAGACACTTGTCGGACAGCACATATCATTTAAGGTTTGAAACGTCTCCCCATGTCATTTTAAAGACTGTTCATATTGTTTTTAAATCTGTCCCTCAGTGTGTGGAGTGGAGATGTAATCACTGAGTCATACCTGCCCCCCCCAGGATGAACACCTTTCTCCCCTAACAAATCACAGGAGGTTAATCTCCTCTTCACAAGTCCATTCAAATGAATCATTTACTTTAGAAAAGGACATTTGTAAAAGCGTTTGCTACTAGTTTTTGCATCAGAGAAGCAGCAGCTGCTCACTCCCCCCCCCCCCCCCCCTAGCCTCATTAGTGCCCCTCTAAATATACCCGTGGTACAATTATGAATGAGGAATGACGGAGTTCAGCGCTGTTCCAAATAGCAAATTAATTATTGATCCCAATTAGCATACTTACACTGTTACTGTATCTATCATGCAGTGTGTAATTACATAATGCATGTAGTGTAGTAAACAAATAATTGGAAGTGAGAGTGGGGGGGGGGGGGGGGGGGGGGGGGGGGGGGCGGACTCTTCGAACACCAACAGGGACTGCTGCAGATTAATGGGATCCTAACTGGCACACGACACAATTTATAGACCAACATGCAAGATTTTATGACCCAAATTATGTCCATTATTAAAAACTGCAACATCTCTCTCTGCCACTGCTAGCCTATTTATGTCACCCAGTTTCCATGGCTACCATGCTATGGATAACATCTAAAGCCCTCACAGGTTTCCAAGTGCAACAACTTTCCCTCGCTATGGGAAGGGGGATGACATTACAACCCAACAATCACTAATGCACTTGAATGAAGATGTATTGAAATATTAGAAGTTAAACAGATGTACATAAACCCAGAGAATCAAACACTGTTAAAGATTACACTGAACAAACTGAAACGTTGTATAAGGTTATCTGAAAGCAATAATATCAAGTTCAAATAAAAAAATATTGGGTTCAACTTAATATTATTGTTTTCAACTAACCTAATCCAGTTATGTTAAGTCTATTGACAGAATACATTTGATTAAAGTCAATGGTTCAGTTTCTTTCAGTGTTATCTTTAACAGTTTTTGATTCCCTGGGTGATTTTTAGTCATACAATACATTTATTTGACCTAGACTACTAGTACCAAATCCAGCTCTACACAGGAGTTACAAGACGACATTGTTGTTTCATCAGTGCTTGTGGAAATGAAAGCTGACAGTGAAATGAACATGTTCCTTCCTTCCTCACACACAAACACACCCTCGCAGCCCGCGGCAGGCCACACACTGCAGGTCCTCCTGACAACAAAGGGGCTCAGGACAAAGCTGGCAACAATCCGCGGTCTTCCTTATTTCCACAGTTCAGGGGGGGCAGGCCGCAGCACACACAATACCTGCTGCAGAGGGAAGATGACATCATTCCTCCACCATCAAGTGACTCATTGTTCCCCATTTAGCTATCGACTTCAAACACACAGGAAGAAACGGAAGCCTTTGTCAGCAGAAAAGCTAAGATCATTTTAAACCTGAGATGTAAACCAGAAGGAGCCGGAGCTCTCTTTACAGCCAACAGTCAAACGGTCGTCCTCCTGGAGGCCAGACGGCTGATGTAACTGATCTGTTTCTGCATTAGAGACATCGCAGTGTTCACACATCAGTAAAGTAGGTCGTGCTGGTCGGCAGGACATCATAAGGATTCACTTTGATCCCAGCCATTGATATACTGAGGATGGATGCTTCTTTGTCTGAGAGAAACTGCTCCTCTGCTGGAGGCTCAGCGCCACCTGCTGGCTGAGGGGGGCACTGCTGTCTGGGGGAGCAGCACACAGCAGTGTTTGCAAACATACATCAAATACATTACTAAGATGAATAAAATAACACTCATTTGATGCCTTGATTGAACAAGAAATTACGGTTTTTTTTTTAGGGAAACGTAATATTTTATTAAAACCTATTTCTGCAGTGAATCAGCATTTTAACCCATATGTAGCTTTAATTAAGGAGTACTTTCTCAACACAATGAGCATTTATCCATCACCTACTCACCTCGTGTCCACTTCATTTGTTTTCCGTAAGGCTTCACGTGAATATCACATCTGCTCCTTTGCAATTGGACAATTGGTTAAAAAGAGAGTACATTTCACTGTGTGCGTGTGTGACTATTTCAACTCCAAATCATCCTTTTCCATAACACATTTACTTTTTAGGAATTCTGCACAAACAGTACCAGCAGACAAGTAGTGCAAGACTTTTCTGCATGTTTGGATTCTTGGTTCATCATAGACACATGCAAGGAACATAAAACATCTTCACAAGTTCACATGCGGCGGGTAATTGATATATAATGATCATTTAGTGAGGACCTTCTTCTTCAAGCACCTGAACACCTTCCTCTGATCATCATCACACGCAGTTCTTACTCTCCATAAAGGACCTGGCCTGACACAGAAAATGGAGACGCTGTTAAGTGAAGCAGAAAGTTCAAACAGACACAAGGAAAAGTGAGTCTTTTCAGCATTCAGTTTATTTCATAATGCCTTCATCACTGCCATATACTGTGGTGTGTGCTAAAGCCATGACCAGGAGAAGAGACCCGATGAGGATTACTCCTGCACACAAACACATTTAAAAGTAAGACTCGTCAAGTCTTGCTATTTTAAAATGAGTTTAAATGAGAAATAAAATGTGTACATGATCAGACAAAGCTAAATTGATTGTGCAAAAGTATTCGTGGGATATGAGACCAAGAAAAGAAAACGCATTCTTTTAGAGTAAATCATAGACGCTTCTCACTCCCTCCTAGAAGTTCATTCAAAGTCCATTAAAACATACCCTCTTCTTTTATCCCCACGACATGTCAAATAAAACAAGCACTTAAAATGCAGGCAACTTCTAAGGCAACATGTGAACTAAAAACAGACTAGACACAGTACGGAGGTATACGCTCCTCTATTTGTCCGCAAGGGCATCCCCCACCAGATACAATATTTCCTAGTGCAAAAATGACACAAGAGCTATCATACAAAGTGAACTACTGGATAGAAAAGACGAAAACATCTACACGCAAAAACAGAAGTGGAGAGGGGGTCCGCTGTTCGCTCTGGGAGCCAGAAGTAGTTTGAACAGCACGAGGAGCTTTTCAGGTCTACACAAACCCCAGCTTTCCTTTATCAGAGACAGGAAGTACATGCCTCTGACCTCAAAACCTGAGGGGCCCACGCGAGGTGGCTCATGCTCACCATTAGAACAAAGTTGGAGATAAATGTGTTGATTTAAGGGGTGGGGGGTTTGCATATGACGGAATCCATGCGTCCAAACATCCTCAGGGATCCTGCACATTGTTCACTGACCAGCCTTCGTCTTGGGTTTCACATCGTGGACGACTGAGTGGCTGTCCAGAGCAAACATGTAGACACGCTCATCAGAGGGGGGGGGGGGGGCAGTGATTGTTTGGTCTGCGCTCACCGAACACACTGTGAGGATGTGCAAATGTTCAGAGGACGTCACTTCCTGCCCCACCGGAGCGAGGGTCTTCAACATGCAGGACACAGTGTGTGTGTGTGTGTGTGTGTGTGTGTGAGAGATGCATGAGGGTGGGTAGTGTTCTGTTGCTGGGGTGAGGAGGGGGAGGGCAGAGGAGGGGGAGGGGGGGTAGGAGTTCATTTGTCTCCGCCTCATCAGGACGTGCCCTGTCTCTTCTGTTGCTGCACCCGGATCAGATCCAGCTGTTTCTTGCACTTCTGGTAGTAGGTGGACAGGCTCTTGTTCTCCTCCAGCAGCTTCTTGTGCTCCTGCACCAGACGGGACGTGTTCTGCTGGTCCTTCTCGTCCTGGTCCAGTTCAGCGATGAGCTCCTTCCTGCGCAGGGCACAGATGTAGAAACATTACCTCTCCTGCGTACACCTGACTTACAGATCACTACATCAGGATATCAATTGTTTATCTTCTCAATTTGAAACAATACCCACATTCCGGCAATAGACAGACTTTCTACCACTTTCATATTTCCTATTTTATTTGACCGCACTCAGTTTCTTACATATTTTGTGTACATATTGTCTTTATTTGTTACAATAGTCTTTACAATTGTTTTTATAATAGCATACGTTTCTCCTCTTTGTATTTGATAAGGTATTCTTCTTGCTATGTGTGCACCATTTACACCAAGCTAATTCATCCTTTGTGTAAACCTACTTGTAATCAAAACCATTCTGAATCTTCAAATGCTCCGTGGCATTTATCGACTTCTACGTTTTAAAAGATAGAAAAATAAAACATTGAGGATGTGATTCAACCCTCTTTAATCCTCTCACATGTCATCCAGTCATTGCAGGGGTTCTTTACAGCTAGAATATATATGTTTGAAAGGTATCAGTCTAACTGTTACAATTCAATAACTAACGATAAAACCACTTAATAGTACATCTATACAAAACAGTCAGCAGCAGCCTAATATTATTTACCAATGTACAACTTCACTTTTCCAAAGTCAAAACACGAGTATTGTAGTATTTGGAAATATGAATTTAAACTTGGTCAAAATAACGAAAAAGATGCGGTGGTTTTACACCACAAACAATGCAGCTTTTTGGCAAATAACTATCTAAAATAAATTACATTTATTTAGAATAAATGTTAGTAGTTTAAAGAATAAAACAAAAAAGTTAATTTTATTTAAAAACATACAGCTATTAAATGTAAAACTAGAGAAATAAATCATTTTTAGATTTTCTGGAGCCTGTGATAGTTTGCCTTGTTCTGTACACGTCTGGGTGGGGGGCCGGTTATTGTGCTTAGAGGTCAACTGGAGGAGTTCAACACTGAACACTGGCATGGATCAGATGGAGCTGCTGGACCTACTTCCTTTGGATGAGCAGGGCGATCTCAGTCTGCACCTTCAGGTATTCCTGCGCCATCTTGCAGTGCTGCTCAAACACAGCCATGGACTCTTTGGAGTTGGGACAGGGAGCGAGAGGCGACACACACACACACACACACACACACACACACACACACACACACACACACACACACACACACACACACACACACACACACACACACACACACACACACACACACACACACACACACACACACACACACACACACACACACACACACACACACACACACACACACACACACACACACACACACACACACACACACACACACACACACACACACACACACACACACACACACACACACACACACACACACACACACACACACACACACACACACACACACACACACACACACACACACACCACACACACACACACACACACACACACACACACACACACACACACACACACACACACACACACACACACACACACACACAATTTATATCAGCTATGTATAGTCTGGGCAGATAATAACACAGCAGATAGCTCAGAGATGCTGCCAATGTGTATTCATATTCACACTCCATTTCCAGGGTAATCCCTTCATAATGAAGTCATTTACAATGTCCTTCAATTCATCCTGGGAGTGAGGAGGGAACGCCACAGTGAAAGCTGATGCAATGCTGACAATATTTCAGTTATTAAAAATCAAATGAGTTTCAGGTGGTGCTGTGAGTGTGCTGGAGGGGGGGGGGGGGTGTACCTGCAGCTGGTGATCCAGGGTCAGATAGGCCATGGGAATGGAGTTGTCTGAGCCGTTTGTGTCTGAGGACAGAGAATCAGAGGGGGGGGGGTTATCTTCAAGACACAAGTGCTGGCAGTCCACACATTTCTCCTGGGTGACTAACAGGAGTGGCCTCTTTCAATCAGTCAGCTTAGGGGTTGAAGTCAACATTTTCATAAAAAACTGTTAACAAAATACCATCATGGTAGACCCGCACGCATAAAGGTATTCTGATTCAAAAAGCTTTCTGGGGGGGGGTCTTTCACACCCAATCCATTAGAGTGGAAAAGAAAAGGTGCTTGTGTACTACTCCACGCACAGGTTCTAGCTGTTTCCATGATAAAGTGACGCCTATGTTTTTTAGTGTAGCATATCTTATCATACAGAACTTGATGCCAAGGCACTGGGGCGTGATTGTTTTGTTACTTACATAACTATAAGATAGTATATTGTTGGATCAAGTCATCTTTCTTTCATCACATAGCTCTGTTTGGAACTTCAACATGGACAAATATTTAGGACAAGAAACAAGGGAACAGACATCCATCCTTATATTACAATCACTAAACATTTGATCTGGGATTTAACTGTATTTCATTTAAAGAGCCTGTGACACGAGTTTCCCCCATCATCCAAACACATCAATTTGAGTAAATATTGTCCCCTTGAAAACCGTTACTGAACTGATTTTGGATATTTGTACTTTGATAACCATTAATCTGCCCTTCAATGTTGACCATTTTCTGGATCTTCTCGGGGATTCTTCAAGTCCCGCCAAATTACGTGTGACGTCATTGCGGGCACAGCGCTCCAGCTGCACCGTTCAGGATCCCAGCATCTGCATGTAAACGTACGATGGCGCACACAGCAGCAACCTCAGACAGCGATCACAGTTTAATGTTGAACGTGTCTGAGAGCTCATATGAGGCTGAAGGATCGGTTTATTGTATCTGTTAGAAGTTTAGGAATTAGGTGCGTCAATATGGGCGATCATACGGTCATGTTGCCAGTGGTGGACTGGGACTAAAAATCAGCCCGGGACTCTCGACCGGCCCACTTCGGTACCGCTAGTAAATTGTCAACGGGGGGAGTGGGGGATGTCAGGGGCGGCGGGTGCTGTAGATAGTACATGTAAATATGTAAATATTTGTGTCACTGCATCCTGGTAAAATACAAATATAATGCAATGTCTGTGTCTTTGACATTAGCGCTGCCAGCCACCTGTGCCCTGTACTACGAAGCCAGTTCAACAGACCCTGGATATGTTTGAGTAACACACAAACTAACAACAACAAACTAACAAACGAGATCTCGCTAAGCGGTCCTACGACGCTGGTTATCAACTCGGTAAATCAAGCCAGGGTTTCTCTCACCAGCTGAGAGCGCGTTCACGTCTAAGACACGAGTGGATCTGACTTTAATTACATTTGACTCGAGTGTTTCGTCAACATAATGTGTTGCTTAAAATAATACTTCTGCATACAGTATGTGACACTGTAAGTGTTGCACGGCCAGACACGGCAGATAAGGAAATATATGATATATTATGATATTATATGATCGATGATCTGATTGATGATGTGATATGAATGATAAGTGCGACACGTCGGCGTCTTCTCTGCATACGGCAGTTTAAACTGTATTTCCTTTATCCTGTAATATGACTTGAGAGATTTAAACTCCGCACACTGAGTTGATCTCTTTTCTATAGACGCCGGAGGCGGGCAGCGTCAGGTACAAACAGTTATTTAGCCTTCCCAAACCTGAACCTCACGCGCCGCCTATGGGGGATGTGCTAGTGATTTATCCGACCGGCCCACTTCGGTACCGGCCCATCGGGATTCGTCCCGATGGCCAGTCCGCCACTGCACCCAGCCCACGTAAACTGTCAACGGGGGGAGCCTCGCTGCGGGGAAACGGTGGACCTGGTGTCCCGATCGGAGTGGGAATAATAATAATAATAATCCGTGCATTTTATCCATTAATTTCCCCAACATTGTGGTAAAAAAAACACACGTTTAATCCATGTTGGTGTACAACTACAAAAAGCATCGGTTTGTTTTCTCATCAGGAAATGCAGACCGGCTCAAACAAACGATTTGTAATCATCATTCTCACGATCATTTAATGTATCATATGTTCGCCGAATTGACATGAAAGCACTAATACATGTAGTTTCATCCACTTGAGTTTATTACAACTACAAAAATAATCGATTTGTTTTTATATCACATCCTACGGGAGGAAATTCAGCAGCTCTCACTACCGATTTGTAATCCTAATGTAATCATCATCCTCACCACGATCATTTATGTTTATGTTCGCCTAATTGACATGAAAGCACTGACAAATATGAATATACTGTAGTCAACTTCATTAAAACGTTATTAACGTGCCTAAACTCAGTAATTCACCATTTCTACGCATGACAACACACTTGGTCCGTGTTTGGCTCTCTCGCCGCACAGTGAAGCGTTCCCGCATTGACGTCACTTCCGGCTTCCCCCAAAACTTCAAAATGAGTCGAAGGAATTTCCCACGATGTTCGAAATTATTGATATTTAACGGAACGGTATCGCTTTTTATTTTTTAAACTGACGGTTCGAGATGACTAGTAGCCCAATATTTCATTGCACAACAGTTGTTGGGATGCTGTCACAGGCTCTTTAAGTATTGCTTTTATAATCTATGCAGGCTTTTAACTATTTGTTTCAAATAATTGTTTCACAATGAGAACCAAGCAGTGGATTGCCTGAACGAGCCACAGTACGAACACTCAAGCATTAGACATCAAGTCACGTATCTTCATCCTTTTATGTGTACAATGATTACAAAGTAGGCTGTGAGTAGAGTTCTGTCTTGTTAGAAAGCGGAAAACACTTACTCTAAACTAGGGATGCCAGTGATTATTCGATCATTCGAATATTCGTTACAGTCTCCATAATCCAAAATTATTTTTAAAATTCGATTTTATTTATATATTTTTTTATTATTATTATTATTTATGTTTTTGTTTTTTTTCCTGTCTTAGTTTCAACCAAAATATAGACTAATGCTAATAATAGTAATAGCGTAGAATAATCGATTATTATTCGATTTTGATCATGGTCAGTTTCTGGTATCCCTACTCTAAACACATTTAAGTGAAGTTTAAGTAAATGTTGGGAAAAACATTTTTGGGTGAAATTGTGATATTTGATCATTGACTCTACTGATCACCTGTAGGGTCATCGGGGCAGAAGTACCCTCTGCTGCTGGTCTTATCGGGGGGCATCATCCTCACACTGGGACTGGAGGAGCGGCTGCTGTTCCTGCTCCCCTGCAGGAGAACACACACAAACATTCAAACATGAAGCAAAGCAGTCTATAGTCACGCACACCTGGAGGCCAAACAAAGCTTACAGAAGAAAATGAACCGTGTTTGTGACTGTTAGCTGAGGAGGTGAATGTCTCTGACAGACTTCATGCCATCAAAGTGATGTTGTTGGAGACTGACAGCTCACAATGTCACAGTAGGAAACAGGACTGACGTTTAAAAGGTTGGTCCTGAACATTTCAATGATTTGTGTAACAGCTGAAGTTCCTCTTTTGAAATCAAACACCAGCTGAGCGTAAGATATCTGCTGCTAATTGCACATTTCTCCAAAGAAACCACTGCCAGAGCTTTTTGTTTAATGTCTTTATCTCAAGGATATCTTGACACTGGATCACCACTTTTGTAAGACAGACTATCTTCTCCCTTCTTCTCTTTTTCCATTTGGGCTTCTGCATATTTGTTTGACAACGTTTTTCACCAACTGCAAGATATCTGCTCCCAGACTTTGCTTGAATGAGCTTCACTGCTCAGTCTGAGAGCCGCAAAGAGAGGAGAGCCCCCTCGCCCGTTGATACAAGTACCACATGAAATGGCAGCAACATCAGCCGATCTGCTCAAACTGATCGGCTTCTGGGTGTTTGCTATGACAGTGTTGGTCTGAGAGTCACCGCAGAGTCAGTCTGATTTCTACAGTAACGTCAGTGGCACTTTTCTGGAAAGTCACAAAATGTTCATCTTGAAGTGATCCGAGTGGCCGCACAAAAAGGGCTCAGGACAAGGAGGCTGGGTGCAGGCGGGGGCATGACATGGCATGTGGTCACAATTGAAGAAAGATGCTGGCTCTCAGAAGAAGGCATGTCAAGCTCAGAGCCTGCAGGTGGCAAACCACATCTGCAACACTCAATTGTGGAATGTACACCATGTTGGATATTATCCACACACAATAGAAGATAAGTCAATTTTCCAAAAAAAAGATGTATAATAATGACAATCCAAACTATGAACATGCTAAAGTCTCAAATGCAACAGGATTTTAGACTTTTTGCATACAGAGAAACTACAAATTCAATCTGAGTTGAATCTGTCACACAGTGATGCAGAGTAACTCTCCATATGGGAAGAGAAGCAACATGATAACAAAGCAAACTCACACCAACACAACTCCATGATCAATGGTGCTGTCAGATTAATGGGAACCCCACGGGCACAACAGCACTATCCATCTTTTTTCTGTACAAAGTCGTTATGGTGAACTCTCAATAAACTTTTGAAAGCGCAGGGGTGTGAGTTTCCTCCTAAACAAATGAGACTAATGTTTGGGAAAGCAGGAGGACTCCTCTGAAGCACGGGTCGTATTCGAGGCTGTGTGTTTGAGGAGAGCGCACTGATGTCTTCATCTTCTTGGAGCTGACATATCAAACAAATGTCATCCTGTGGAACTCTTTCTCCAAGAATGCATCAAATATTGGAGAAGATGGCATCAGTCAAGAACCAGGAGGAGAGTTATGATACAATAAACTCCTTTGACTGGGTGCTCGCAGAGTTCAGCTTTTTATTTAGAATTACACAAAGATCATTGCTAATAGTTATGATCAAATTTGATTCCAGTCCAACTGAAATCACCACCAATCCTTTTTAGAATTTAAAATAAGTGTTATTTAAAATGATTGGAAAAAGCTCTATGCCTCATGGTGACCTTTGATTGACAGCTGTACCAGCATGACAGACAGTAACTCATGTCTGCTGTTAACTGTACAGTCGTCTTCAAGCAACAGTCTCATAATACACACATGCACACAGAAGGATCCACACTTGTGTTTTTCAATGCACACACACACGTGTTCCGTTTCATATACATGTAAATACAATCCAAATACAGAAACAAGTTTTATATGTATTTTTGATCCTCACATATTAGTTTTCCGTGTAAATCCCCTGCACCTTCAAACACAACCGCTTTCTGTGCACGGATCGCTGTGCATTCGTGTGTGGGGTTTTGAGACTCCCCTGACGGTCACCCGATTCGTACTTGTAATTTTTTCTATCTATAGCCAATCAGATGTCTCCTTCATTCTAAGCCAATCACATGAGCGCGCCCCCACGAGGGTAGATTTATTGCGTTCATGACGTAGCGCTTCATGTACGCATTTTGCGCAGTCCGGAGCTGACAGCTCCATGGAGCCTGCCTGCAGGCGCTAACCTCAGGACACCTCCACTCTCAGTACAGCGCCACTTTCCGGACAGGAAATGCACGCAAATACAATCTTTATATTATTAGGTACAGCGCCACTTTCCGAACCATTGATGAATGCTTGTGTACACACAAACGGCAGGCAAAACCGTTTTAAATGTGTGTTTCCTGTGTTACCATACAGCTGCTTTATTTATGTCTGTATGAAGTTGTTGTGCGTGTGGAGGGAGCAGCTACAGGTTAGCCTAGCCTAATCGATCAGTGCACTACGAAGCCAGTGTGTCAACGGGGGGGGGCCCGCCGGTCATTATTGGCTGATATTCACTCTTCATAGTTTGATCGGTGCTCTCTATAAAGGCCGATCAGGAGAGCTGGATCTGATCGATATGGACATAAACGCGAGTGAAGTTTTAGCGAGCTGCATGAGAAACTGACGGGCTGTCAGGAGAGAGGATCCGTTACTCCTGTGTTATTATCCATATCCGGTCATAGTCCGGTAATTACCTGCTAACGGAAACTCTGCTACACAATTATTATTATTCTTATTATTATTATTATTATTATTATTATTATTATTGGTACGGTAAAATAAATTCTGTCCGTGGAAACCCAGCTCCGGACAGCGCAAAATGCGTATATGAAGTGTCATGAACGCAATAAATCTACCCTCGTGGGGGCGCGCTCATGTGATTGGCTTAGAATGAAGGAGACATCTGATTGGCTATAGATAGAAAAAATTACAAGTACGAATCGGGTGACCGTCAGGGGAGTCTCAAAACCCCACACACGAATGCACAGCGATCCGTGCACAGAAAGCGGTTGTGTTTGAAGGTGCAGAGGTTTTACACGGAAAACTAATATGTGAGGATCAAAAATACATATAAAACTTGTTTCTGTATTTGGATTGTATTTACATGTATATGAAATGGAACACATTTGTGTGTGCATTGAAAAACACAAGTGTGGATCCTTCTGTGTGCATGCCCATAATGACAGATCACGCTGTTTCTGCACATTGAGCATCTAAACCGACCCATGTTGATATGTTGTCTGTCTTTGAACAATGAGCTACAGCTAACTAGCCAATAAGATATCTGGTTTTGCAAAATGACGTTAGCAGTGCCCTCTTCCCATGCTGGATGTTTGTTACCCTCACAAAGTGCAGCAAGACATTGTCCAGCTGTGCAATAGAGACCTACTCTGTTGTTTTTGTATTAAGTGAAGCGAGGGAACACATTGATCAAATAACGCACCACTAGACAGATGTATTGTAATTCACTCTTGTGGTTAGCTATCTTTCCCACGGTGACAGTTTTCATTATTTGACTTCATTTGCGATAGAACGAAGGAGGACTCCACCCCTACAACTACTGTGAAACATTCAATGTGTTCTCATTCATTGTAAAGGAAGCAATTGGATTTATGAAAAGCCTTTTTCCATACGTTTTTTAAAGTATTAAAAAAATGATATTTGTTTTACAAAAAAGTAAAGACTGCACATTAAGATGGTGGTGCCGTGCAGCTACGCAGACGTCTTGCAATTTATCTTCAAGGAAACGATAGGGAGATCCAGTCAGACATGTTTCATATACATGACTCTTCTGTTGTGCAAAGCAAAACAACAAATAGCAGAGTTCTAAGTGGAGCCAGCATCTTTCAGCGTTCACTTCCCACTCACTGACACACAGGTGCATTGTGCAACATACAATGATCTACCATGTTTGACTCTCACTATACTAATGCTAACTTTCCTATCTTTATGTCTGTAACCAGTGGTGTAAAGTAACTAAGTACATTTACTCAAGTACTGTATTTAAGTACAATTTTTGCATATCATATATATTATTCTGAAATAAATACCCTTGGACCGATCTGCACAATGACTACTTTTACTTTAGGAACTTTATGTATATTTTGATGCTAATACTTTTGTACTTTTTCTTGAGGAACATTTTGAATTCAGGACTTTTACTTTTAACAGAGTATTAATACACTCTGGTACTTTTACTTAAGTACAAGATCTGAGTACTTTTTCCACCTCTGTCCGTAACTGGATGGAAATTGACTTTCAAACAAATTAAAATCTAGCCTGGCTGGGTACGTACGTTAGATTTGTGCACATACATCCCCCTTTTCTGTAGAACAATGTTAAAACGCCTCTAGAGAGAAACTCTGCCCTACATAAGTAAAGTATAGTCAAGGACATAAACATCAATACACACAGACCGAGTGACCCTCCCTGTCTTAGCACACCCCTCCGCAGCGGGCCTGGTCTTACCTGGCTGGACTCTGAGCAGATGCCGGGCAGGTCCTGCACTGAGCGCCGTCTCTGAGGCTCGCATGTGGCTGTGGACAGGATGAACAGAGGACAGAGGGTGAGAGCAGTGGAGATGGCAGATAGTGATGGTGGGAGATTGGTGCCCATGTTTGCTCAACAGATATCCAGGCTCACCGAGCGTCACAGGGACAGCTGCACTGATTTAACCCTGTAGGTCCTGGTCTGTCAACATGTGCTGTGGCATGGCTACAACATGACCACAGCGCTAAAAGCATCCCGCCACACTGACAGTGAACTGCAAACATACACACATCACCGTACCACACATGTCAAACTCCAAATCTGGCTTCTTGATGAATTTGGTCTGAGGGTTTGGCCTGACTAGATGTAGCAGCACTTGCATCAAAGAGAATATGTCATGACATCACATCAAATGTATCATTATTTCTTTATGTCTGGTCACTAGAAATATAAGTCTATGTTACTTAATAGCATTATATTTAAGTTGGGTAAATATATATAATATTTGATTGATTGCAAAGTCTTTTTTTTTGCAATTGTTGTGTAAACATTGTGTAAATGTAAACCAATTTCTAAAAACGTTATCTGGAAGCAATTATCCATCTGTTTACTTTAAATGTTTTCATGCCCAAATGCATGCCATGATGGTAGGACTGTTGACTACAGTGTATTACTATAAATGCAACTAAACATTCAGCATTATTTATTGATCATAAATCTAAGTGCTTTTGGGTTCGATGGTGCTTATATTTCTCAATCTACAGTATAATATGTTCTACTGAAGCCGAAACACAAACACACATAAGTAAGGCATACATAGTTCCTACATTATAGCAATATTCAACATCAAGTCATGTGGATTGCACTTTTGTTCCTATTCCCCAACCTCTACACGACCTAGAACACATCAGGTGGATTCCACTAACACTAGGCTTACTATAGGCTCTGTCTAAAAGAAACAACACATACCAACACACAAAGGACTGAGCAGATCTGTCTATTGGAATTCATTTTTCATGAATTATTATTGAATTTGTATATTCCCTGATTTAGTTTTTTATTCAGATAAATGCACTTTAAATAAAATGAAGTGAAAACATGTTTCCAGTTGTTGCTCAATGGCAGGGGGGTAACGGTACATGCATCAGTTCCAGATGTTTCTTTCAATATGTGACTTTCTTCAGTTTGTGTGTCACTAATATATTGTACCTTAGCCTAGGCCTAATGTATTTAAGAGAGAATTCTTCTTGGAAGCTTTGGCAGAAGGACAGGATATAAGTGTTTTGTGAATGTTGGACTTGTTTTCATCACTCTTGCCACGTCTCTCAGGTGTGTGGTGTCACACAGGCAGCGCTGCTTTACTGCCAGCTCTTTACTTAATAAGCTTGCTTTCATAATGCTGGCTGGCTATATATTCATGGATAGAACTGTGCAAGTAACCTCACTTTCACAACACTGTCCTGCAAACATTTTGACAAAAGTTTTGTGTTAAAGTTATTAATTACAAAAACCCTGGAAGGAAATGGAAACAGGAAGTGCAGATTAAAAATGCAATAATAAAAAGTATTTCACGGCTTTGACACAGACATGTCACTGCAGTATTGTTGCTGTAAGATCTCAAAATACTGTGGAAAGTTCCTCTTCAATGTTTACTTTTGGAGACGCAGGCAATGTGGCAGAGGTGAAAGAAATAACCAATTATCTATCATTTACATTAAAAAAAAAAATATATATTTTATCTTCTGCATTGTTTTGTTTATACCTTAGAACTGTGCATTTGACATACCGTTACACCCCTCCTTTATGACCACCAATGATGTATTTGCTTGGTAAAAGACCAGGTGTCCAGGTGTACCCGTGCGATGATGTTCCCTACCGTTAACAACATGCATCATTTGACTTCCTTATCAGTGGATACAACTGGCCACAGATAATGTGTCTCACCCAGCTCCAAATAAGACACTTTTTTTCAGGACATCCAGAGCTGTCCCCATTCCTCTCATCCGTATCTGCTTGTAATAGCTTTGACCCTCATGTGAAAGAAATGAATCAAAAATGACTTTGTCAAAGTTAATGGAGTTAAAGAGCAAGAGGGAGAGAAAAATAGCCAAGCTTTCTCAGAGTCCTTTATGCATGAAAGGCAAGGACAAGCGGACATTCAGAGAACTGGTGCACTGCAAAGCCAGAGAGGGAGGAGAAGACAGAGCCATGAGTTAGAGGGTCATCTCATCTGTGTCACCTGATCCGATCTGATTGACAGGTGACACAAGATGATGGGAAGACATCGTCACTTGAGAAAACGTTGTTATTTTCTCACCAGATGTGAATATTAACTCATGTTCTGCCTTCTATAAACACAGAGACATAGAGCTTGTGTGTTACTCCAGGACCAGCTCAACTATATTCAGGTTTGGGGGGGGGGGGGGGGTACCGATTACATGTAACGAGATTACGTAATCAGGAAACCAAAAAGGTAACTGTTTCTGATTACAATTACGCAAAGAAAAAATAATGCAGTAGCTGGACACCTGATTTATTAAACAAACAATCAGTCTATGCTTTTGATTCATGTAGTAATTACTTTGTAAACTATTACTTGGACTACATTTTTATATATTATCTTAAATATCTTGGTTTCTTCTTTTCTAAAAGTGACATTGTTATTTGCACTTAAAAAAATAAGTAAAAAACATGTTATTGTTATTTAATGTCTCCTGTTTTATTTGCATTGCATTTGATATTGAGGTAATCCAAAAGTAACAAAGTCATCAGGTTACATTACTTCTATTTTGATACTTCGGTTACTGATAAATGTTTTTGAAGTGTAACTAATTATTGTAACTCAAGGTTCTTTATTTGTCAAACGAACATAGCTACAGTGTAGTTATGTCGATGAAAATCTTGTGTCACAGGCAACTGATTACATTTTTAAAGTAACCCTCCCAACCCTGATTAATGTTTGTATAAAATGTTGTGTTGGCATCGTATGGAGTGACACACAGGAGAGCTCCATGTCAGAGCACAGCAGCCCAAACTAGCAAAGCAGAGCCAGCTGCACCCGGTCACCATGGAAACCCGGGGGTCCAGTGGTACCTGTGATGACGATCTTGGGGACATCCAGAATGGTGCCGTATGATGCCGTTTTACGATGGCCTCGTTTAAACTGCGGACGTGCTGCGGAAAACACACATACACACATACAGCTGCGAACACAACGAGCATGCAGACTGACACAGACTGGGGGGCCACAGCTGGACCGGACATGTGGGCCCCTCTCATGCAGAGCATACATTGTACGTGCAAGGGCAGCATGCTCTCCGTCCCTTCCCGGCGCCGTGGAGTGTTACCGCTTACACCACCAGCAGCCACCACATTACCTTCTGAGCCCAAACAGCAGCAGGCATAGGGCTCTGCTGCGGTTTGGGCTCAGAGCTCCACACGGCAATCTGAGGACTGCAGGTGTTGATGGTGGAACTACAGTAACGTTATTCATTTATAGCCTAGTTGTCAGCTCATAGAGTCTTATTGTGATATGTTGAGTACACCAACGTTTTGTGACAGAAATATATAGTGAGGGTCCCCAGCACATAGAAACTGCAGGATGCTAACTTGCATATGCTGGGCCATTTGCACAATTAGCATAAGTTTTGTTCATTAGCATATGCAGACAATAGTTACAAAATGGCTTGGTTGATTTGGACAGTTTTGGTGTGGTTTTTAAGGTTATTGAGGAAGTTGAATCCATTTCTGACCATTTCAGGATCAAGAATGGCAGTTATGAGTCCCCTAGAACTTCAGAACAATTTGTTTGCTATTGTCTGCATATGTGAATTAATGCTAATTAACACGACTTATAATAATTGTGCAAATTGCCCAACATATGCAATTTAGCATCCGGCAGTTTGTATGTGCTGAGGGCACATACTACACATTTCTAACTTTGGTGTACACAATAGGAATCTATGAGCTGGCAACTAGACCATTAAGTTACAGTACAGCAGACAAATAAAAAAGGCAACAAACAAAAAGACCTGACATGGAGTGCCATTGTAGCAGAGTGGTTACAGCGCATGCCACATAACCGCATGTCCCTGTTCTAGACTTGGGACCTTTCCTTTCTATTTTGTCCCTACACTGGCCAAACAATTGTGAAAGAATAACATTAAAATAGACAAAAAGGAACCTGACATTTGTGTATGCTTAAATCAAATCAAACTACATGCTTAGAGCTCCTGAGGTTTAATTTCAGTGGCACTATTGAGCTCGCTGTTTCTGTCAGAACATTGCAATACGTGGAGATGGTTGACAGAAGGGTCTGATGGGCCTTAGTGTACAAGGTCAAATCTGTGTTTCTGTGAGGAATCCATTTCCATCTCTAAGTGATGAACGCACATAAGAGTAAAACTGACAGGGAAGGAGCTTCTGGTGGATTTGGAGAGGCCTCATTCCAATAAGACTTGCACTGACAATACTGCAGCATGCCTTTCCTGAACAATTTGCTTCTTTCAAAATCTGGTAGGAGCATGCTAATTTGCTTTGATGCGCTCTTGTTCCTGTTGTCTTGTGCTGTGTGACGTCAGGCATTACCTGCAGGTGCAAATGGCAGCTTGGGCTCCAGCTCCGACAGGTCAGCGCTCATTCTCTTGCTGTCAGATGATGTCAGGCACTGTGTCCGTGCAGGCAGACTCTCCACACTGCCCCCCCTCGACAGAGGCAGAGACCTCAACGGGTCTGCCTAAGAGAACAAGAGGAAAATCTCACTACAGAAGCTTAGTTTGACAATATTTGCTTCTCGTGCAGCTAAATGACGGAGAACTGTAAAACTGAAATGAATGTATTATGTGTAGTATTGGTTTACCTTTGGCTTGAAGTAAGGAGCAAACTGAGGCATGATCTTGATAGTATCGTTACTCCCTTGGGAATCACTGTGCTCCATGTTTGCGTCACTTTTGTTGCTGGTGCTGGTGCCAGTGTTGTCCACATATGAACCTGTTGTTCCCCAGGAAACAGGACGTGTCTTTCATCAAAGATTTACAATGCATTTTCTTTGATGGTTCACAACACTGTAAAGCTAACCAAAGCTTAAAATCATAGACATGGCTGTTTCAGACATGATACAATTATTGGGTGCTGGCAGAAAAGAAAAAAACGATTTCAAAATGTTATAATAATAATGCTTTCCAGGAGACTAGCACCAGTACATGTTCCTTCTATATCCTTCTGTGCTGATACATGCTGGCTTTAACTGGTTTGAGGATGACTCTTGTACCTGTACTGGTAGCAGAGTTGCTCTGTCCGTCATCTGAATACTGGTATGGATACTGCAGCGGTTCATCATATCCAGGGAAGTACTGACAAGAAAAAATGTATTGAAGAAAGAGTGAGCTTGGTTGGATTGAACATCTTTCTACCCAAGCTGTGCATGAAAGAGTGAAGTCAAGTCAAACATAATCCATAATAATAACTTCAGTTCCCAGCACATTAGGTACATCAAGCTAAAATGACTGCCATATAATAGAGCTGTGCAGTGATGATGTATTTTGTAGGCCCAACAGGACGTTAGCATCGTAAGGGTTCAGAAAATAGGATGTGGCACAAATTAATGATACTTAAACATTTCAGTCAGCATGATAATCTCCACATACCAACACCACTTTTATGTTTCTTGAAATGTAAATGCAATAACAGAAGTCAAACGCTAACGTTACAGCACGGTCACATGGCTGCACATCACCACCGCTAAGCTAACGGTGGCTTATGTTCGGTGTGATGGATGATTTTTAGTAGCAAGCTCATGCGTTTACCCGTGCATTATTACATGTAACAGTCCTGCAATAAGACATCCTTTCATGCATGTAGCTTCTAATGTTTAGTATTGTTGAAACTGAGATGGGTTGATTTGAATGCATGGTCTTTTAAGAGGAGCGGTTTGTAGTGCTTTGGAATTGCATTTCCAATGTTTCTATTGCGCTGTCCATCCTAATTATATATTTGTGTCCTCCTTTTTTGGGGATGGGGGGGTTTGTACAACATCTTTGCAATTCTTTTAATGTATTTAGTGATATAACAATTACAGGAAAAGTGCATTCAAGTACAGTGTCCTAAATACACACAAGAGAGTAACGAGTATTCCCAAGTGAAGACAAATAACTAAATACACATTGAGACCAGAAACTAAACAGAGAAAGAAAATCTGTGTATAATAACAAAATAATATAGTTTTGTTATAAATAATAAATAGTCAATTATTGTAAATATAGATGGAAATCCTGTAAATACAAAAATATACAATAAAAGTAATAATAATAATAATAATAATAATAATAAAAAGGATAATAATAATAATAATAATAACAGAAACCCATGGATGGTGTGCTCACTGGTTTGTGCATTGACTGTATGTAGAAGGTCAGGGGGGAGGGGAGATTCCTGATGATATCCTGATGTAACCTAAATATCATAACACTTCTATTTGAAAGGCAATACATTCAAACTTTTCCTGTCATGTTACAATCTGCTCTCTGAGATGTAAGTATTTGTTCAGGGTTATTGAATTATTCACTCCAGTTGAATGAAAGCCTTGTAGAGAGGGACAGCGTGTGTGAGGACAGATTACCTTCATTAGATGAGTCATGATCTTCACTATCTCCTCCATGGAAGGCCGCTGAGAGGGGTCTTTAGACCAGCAGCGAGTCATCAGACTCTCAAGGGGCTTGGGCACATTTTTGATTAAAGGAGGTCTTGTGCCTGAATGTTAAAAATAAAGGTAAAGGAACTGCTCAGGCACGGTCACAGGAACAGATTACGTTTGGCATCACAGCAGCCAAGCAGAGAAATGTTTGCTAAATCCCCTGGTTCCTGCTGTTAAAGCTATGATGACTCAGGCAGGCAGATTCAGAGGTGAACATATGAAACTTCCCCAGGTATTATTAGTGTCCCATTAGTATTCTCCTTCATCCATCTCTGAACTACAATCGTTTGCAGGGTGTGCTGCAGGTGAACCTGCCTCTTGCACCATTTATTTCATTATTTATCAGTTCTTTTTTTTGTTTATTCAGGGGAAAACTAAACAAGTGGAAACAACAATTGACATTGCTTTTTTATATTTATTATGTAAAATAAATAACATATATTTTTGTAACAAATCATTATAGACTAATGTGATGATGGAAATGCAAAACAAATACAATTGTTATCTTTAATAATTAGCCCCGGGTCGTTTACTACTGGGGTTTGGTACCCATACCTTTTGCCGACAGCTGGATATGACCTTTGCATCCTCCAGCTACCCCAAAAACACACACTCACCATTGTGCACAGCCCACATAATGCGAAAAGCTGGTCCTCCAATTTCATCGAAGGGCTTCCTGCGAGTGATCACTTCCCAGAGAATGATCCCCCAGCTGAACACATCACACTTCTCGCTGTAATTGCTGCCTGCAAGTAGAGAAGAACCCACAGCAACACTTAGGTCCTTTTCAAACAGGGAGAACACACTGTTTGACATCGCTGACTGACTGATAAAGGCAATTCTCTGTGGCACAATTGAGATGAGATCGAGGGTGCGTCTAGGAGGGGATGAGAATGGAAATAGGGGAGCAATTTTACCAAGGAACAGCTCCTGTGTTGCATAATTACTGGGCCTATTATGGCCAAATCAAAGTGCACATCACACACCTCTCTTAAAGTAGCTGCGCTGCACACACTGATGCAAATGAGTTGTTAAGAGTTCACGGTGAGGGCATACGTGAGGTGTTTAATTGCTTGTCTTGTACCTTGCCTCCAAAAAACAAGACAATGCTAAGGGCTATATTCTTCTTTCCTCCATGCCCCCTCGCCAAGAACATGTCTCATCATGTAGAAATGTGCTAGGCTCTTGGCTGAATGAGAACACAATTTGTACACGTCCTATCCCGAGGGAAATAAAGCCACCGGCATCTCGCCATTCATCACCTCACTGTGCTTAGGAGACCACTATCAATAAAACAGTAAAGTGAGATGCAGATGATGGATCAAGAAGATATTCCTCCATTGTGGGAGCACTGAGCTGACATTAAGGGGGAAAGTAGCTAAATCAAAGGTGTGTGTAAGAAAAAGCAATACGAACAGAGGTGGAAGAAGTATTCAGATGCTTTACTTAAGTAAAAGTCCTGCATTCAAAATCTTACTCAAACTATTATCAGCGAAATGTGCTTAAAATAGAAAAAGTACTCATTGTGCAGAAAACTTACCTTTTAGCATGTATATAATTATATTTATAAATGACATCATTTCTACATAATATTTTTGCATCAAGTAGCATTTTACTGTTGTAGACAAACAAAGCTCTGATTAACTTTTTGTAAAGAATTTAAAGAGTTAGTCCACTAGTTACATTTCTAGAGAAGCATTTCGTTAAAAGTCCTGTTTGTTAAAGGGATAGCGGAAATCCGCGAATTTTGGGTTTAACTTATGTATTTTTATTAAAAATAAGCATAATAAACAATTTTTTTTAATTTCATGCGCCTAGTTTCATTTTATTTTACTGCTCCCGACCACGCCCTCTCAATGAAACGAAATACTTCGGGAATCGTCGGGAATCTTCGGGTGATGACGAAAACAAAGGACGACGGGCACAAACAATGGCGGACATTCAATAGCATTTGCATGTGAATAGCCGACCTTTATTATGGTGAATAGATGTGTTTTGTATGGCTGTAGTGCGACAGCAAATGCAGAGAATGGCGTATCGACGCATGCGTTTCCAAGAAACCCAGCCATTCGTCGTCAGTGGGTGAAATTTGTTCAGATAACACGGGCAAACTTCACGGAGCCGAAGCTGACGAGTACTTCGGCAGTCGTGTGCTCCCGTCATTTTACTGACGATTGTTTCGAGATTCCTCGGTCTCTAACTCAAATTGAAAGTGGAATACATAAGAAGTGAGTATTTTATTATGTTTTCTAGCTGATTTAATGCATCATTAGCCTGTACCATTGTGTACAACGCCATTTATTGCCTGTCGATTAGGCGACCGGAGGCCTCGTCATCCGATAATCCGGTACACAGTGTCGAATGTGTACACTACAGTCATCATATAGACATGATAGACTAACAGTACTGTGAGTACAGCCTACACTTGACAGGCAGCCTGGCTAGCCTAGGATTAGGGCCCTACTACGTCAAAAGACCGATTGGCTCTAGCTGTATATCATGCTAGTATACAATTCATTTCAATTTATTCATGTAATTAATGCCCATAAGGCTGTTACATATACAATAATAAATGTGACAAGATAATTTATGTGAACCTGACCCTGGTATGTTATGAAATGTACTCTACATGCAGTCATCCTCGGGCATAGCCATAGGCCTACAGTACATGCATGCCAACTTTTGCAATATATAATGGCGCGTTTCCACTGCAGCGGATAACTCGCTTTAAGCGTGCCGAGCCGTGAGCTATGCTTAGGGACCTACCAGTCAAGATTATTTGTGCGTAGGGGTGCATCATCTGGCGCCTGGTCCTGGTTATCCTCGCCATTGCCCATGCCGTGAACTAACTCCATCACCTCGGGCTCGAACAAATAAGGACGTAATGGTCCATCGTCTGGCTCAATATTGTCACCATCATCGCTTACTGAACCGGATTCAGATTCAGTTCCTAAAACTACATTTTCGTAGGAAAGCCGAGAGGATGTTTCTGACTCGCTATCATCACTGGATACCTCGTACAATCCTTCTTTGTCTGGTATATTTGCCCTTCCACGTTCATTCTGCATAGACGCCATTGTTTTATTATCGTTTCATCTTCCTGAGTTTTCGTCACTTCCGGTTTGGCTGAAGCGATAATTTCGTTTCTAAAAAAGTTCGGGGAAGCTGCAATAAAGTGCTTCTAACATGCGTAAGGCAATTATTATATTTTTGTAATCAGGTGTGATTGTTTTGGTACGTAATTATGCTTGTATATAAGTTAAAACGAAACTATTTGGGGTTCAATTTCCACTATCCCTTTAAAGTATATGTTTAATAAATGAAGTGGAGTAGAAGTATAAAGTAGCATTACATGGAAATACTCAAGTAAAGTACAAGTACCTCAAAATGTTACTTAAATATAGTACTTGAGTAAATGTACTTAGTTAATTTTCACCTCTGACAAGGAAATATGCAAGATGGTTATTTGGCCTAAAAGGATTCAGTGAGCGTTTATAGAAAGCAACTGGATACTTATGAACACTTTTTTAGTTCAAAACAAATAACGGGGCAGGTATCCAAAGAACTACTTGGACTGCCTCTTACACTGTATACTTGCCTTCAAATACCTCTGGGGCCATCCATGCTGCACTTCCTTTGTTGTTGGTCATGTGGGTCTGAATGTCGCATGCTGTTCCAAAGTCACATATCTTCAACACAGTGCCGCCTGCCACCAGAAGCAGACTGAACGAAAACAAGAAATACACCTTATTAGACACTGAAAATAGCAAAAACTTGAAATGATTAATAATACAAGTAACACTTTCTGAATTGTAAAAGCTAAACCTTTTCGCTTGATATATTTTTTTGTCCTTTAGGGACCTCTTGGAGAAGGGTTTTTGACACAGTTGGTAAGATAAGATAATATAATGACTCCGCTGTGATTACACATCATTGATAGCTTAACGGTGCCATCCATGTACTTTAAATTGCACAATATATCAGCTTGTTGACACAATCTCATCACAGGACATGGGGATGCAAGTGTAGGACAGGTAGTAAATCTGTGGCGATCATTAAAAGGAGCATATAAATGATTGGACGATAAACCCTTGTTGACAATTTGTCACAATGTGAGACCTTGTAATTCCTAGAAACTCTGCAGCACTTCTCTAGGAAACAGAACAGCTGGTTGTTCCCAGAGAGTCCGGCCAAGACCCTTCTCTCACTAGTCTCTTCTGGGATCCAACCTTTCTTCAGTACCAGCCTGACACTGGGGTTCAAGCAAGCAGCAAACTGCAGGGCAGATCAGTGAAGCCCATAGGATGCTATGATGGGCCGTACAGGCCGTAATTCATACTGGTCCTCTCACGCACATACATTCTCCTTTTACATACATACATTTTCACGCTTACACACGTATATATTTACACTCACATTAATACATTTTGCTCTCATATTATCATATTTCAATGCACACATTCATGCATTTTGTTCTCATATTCATATATTTTAATGCTCATATTTATACATTTTGCTCTCATGCACATTCATTCAATGTTTACATTTAATATTATAAATAATATATGCATGTATGAAGACAATATATGTATGCAAGAGAAGAATGCATGTACGTGTGAGAGAAAGTATAGTGGAAACGGAAGGAGTATGGTTGAAACGGAAGGCAGGTCATTATCGCGCTGCGATTGGCTCAGAAGGTCGAGCGGGGCGGGCTCATGTTCAGAACTTCTGATTCAAATCACGAAACTCGCGGAAGTGATTTCAAAACAAAAAGCACTCGTTTGCTTGGAACGGTGATATTATAAACAAGGGGAAACTAGGGGAATTTAGCGATCACAACGAAAACGGCCAAGACACACATTGAGCCCAGAAAATGAATGTTATTAAGGCTGTAAATATAATAAGCCTGTGTCTAAAATGGACAACATTGTTAGGAGATTTAAACTATACAGCGGTTCTACACTGCGGTCACCTTAGCCGTCTCTCGAGTTTGTTTTTCAAATCAGCTGCTCTTTTTTCCCCTGCTATATTTGATGATCGATACAAATATTTGTTACCACAAGTTCTCAATAAAAGTGACACTGTTGGACTCGGTACTAGTTTGACTGCTACCACAAGTACAATCAAGTACTTTTACTGTGTACTTTTTAAGTAAGTTGCAGTAGTCTAGGCGTGAGATGACGAGAGCCTGGACCAGAACCTGCGTCGCTTTCTGGGTCAGCTGGGGACGTATCCTCCTGATGTTGTAAAGCGTGTATCTGCAGCAGCGGGTTGTAGCAGCGATGTTTGCAGTGAAGGACAGTTTGTTATCTAGGATCACACCCAGATTCCTTGCAGTCTGAGTCGGGGAAACAACAGAGGTGCCAATGTTGATTATTAGGTCAAGAGTGGGACAATCTTTTCCAGGAAGAAAAAGCAGTTCAGTCTTGTCAAGGTTGAGCTTGAGGTGGTGAGCAGACATCCACTGAGAGATGTCCGCTAGACAAGCAGAGATGTGTGCGACGACCTGGGTCTCTGAGCGGGGAAAGGATAGAATTAATTTGGTGTCGTCAGCGTAGCAGTGGTATGAAAAACCATGCGGGCTAATGACTGATCCGAGCGAGTTTGTGTACAGAGAGAAGAGGAGGGGACCAAGGACAGAGCCCTGAGGGACCCCTGTAGTTAATTGACAAGGGTCAGACTCGGACCCTCTCCAAGTTACACTGTAGGTACGGTTTTTGAGGTATGAGGTGAGGAGGGAAAGTGCAGAGCCTGAAACTCCAAGTTCTTGGAGAGTGCGAAGGAGGATCTGATGATTCACCATGTCGAATGCAGCAGACAGGTCCAAAAGGATGATGACAGAGGAGAGGGAGGCTGCTTTAGCAATGTGCAGTTCCTCAGAGACAGCAAGGAGGGCAGTTTCTGTTGAGTGACCTGCCTTGAAACTAGACTGGTGCGGATCCAGAAGGTTGTTCTGATGGAGATAACAGTTGAGTTGTAAAGACAGCGCGTTCAAGTGTTTTCGACAGGAACGGGAGTAGAGAGACAGGCCTGTAGTTTATAATATCGGACGGGTTGAGAGTGGGTTTCTTTAGGAGAGGGTTTACTTTTGCCTCCTTAAGACTGTTTGGAAAGTGACCAGAAGTTAGAGAAGTGTTGATGAAATGGGAGAGAAACGGTAGAATATCAGGAGCGATAGTCTGAAGGAGGTTTGAGGGGATAGGGTCCAGAGGACAGGTAGTAGGACGGCAGAGGTAATGATGGTAAGAATCTCACTTGGAGAGAGAGGGGAAAAGGAGGTTAGTGTGTTGGTGGAAGGAGGGTCTGGTGAGCCAGCAGTGAGTAAAGGTGAGTCAGAAAAAGAAGAGCGAATATCATCAACCTTTTTTTCAAAGTAGTTAACAAAGTCGCTTGGAAGAAAGGAGGAGGGGGAAGGGGCTTTGGGGGGTTCGAGGAGGGTGGAGAAGATTGAAAATAGTTTTTGGGATTGGAATAGGAAGATTGGATCTTATCTTCAAATAAAGTGATTTTTGCCTGAGAGATCGAAGATGAGAAAGAGGAGAGGAAAGCCTGATAGGTTAGGAGGTCGTCAGGGTGTTTGGATTTCTACCATTTGCGCTCTACTGCCCGAAGGACGGTTCTATTAGCGCGCAGTGCGTCATTTAGCCAGGGAGCAGGAGGGGACTGACAAGCCTGCCGAGATGTGAGAGGACAGAGAGAGTCCAGAGAGGATGAGAGAGTAGAGGAGAGTTTCTGCAGCAGAGTTTGGAGGCAGGAGTTGGAACGAGTCAGAGGAAGGGAGGGCTGAGAGCACCAATGAGGCAAAGGTAGAGGGGGAGAGGGAACGAAGGTTACGGTGGACAGGTGCAGGATGAGAAGAGATTAGTTTATTATGTTTGGAAAGGGTAGAGAGAATGAAATGAAGAAGTGATCCGAGGTGTGGAGCGGGTTTACAGAGAGGTTAGAAGTAGTGCAGTTCCTTGAGAATATGAGATCAAGGACATTGCCAGCTTTATGAGTTGGTGGGGACGGAGACAGTGAGAAAGCAAAGGTGGTTAACAGAGATGTTAGTTTGTCTATCTTCCCTGTCTGGACGTTGAAGTCTCCGAGAAGTACAGCGGGAGGACCAGTTTCAGGGATGTGTGAGAGGAGATTATCTAATTCCTCCAAGAAGTCCCCCAAGGCGCCTGGTGGACGGTAGAGAACAACAATGGTTAATTGTATAGGATGGGTTACTGTGACGGCATGGAATTCAAAGGTGGAAGGAGTGAAGTTAGGTAGCTTGAAGAGGGAAAAGCTCCATTTGGGAGAGAGCAGGAGACCAGTGCCACCTCCTCTGCCAGTGGGTCTGGGTGTATGGGAGAAGTAATATGCTGTGGAGAGAGCTGCTGGGGTGGATGTGTTGGATGGAGTAATCCAGGTCTCAGTGAGAGCAAGGAAATCCAGAGACTGCAGGGAGGCGTAGCCAGAGATGAAGTCAGCCTTAGGAACAGCTGACTGGCAATTCCACAGGCCACCTGAAACTAGATGTTGGATCTCAGTGGAGCATGTGGGATAGACGAGAGCAGGCCGGTTATATCGATTAGGAGATACCCGGGGCCAGTGATAATTGGGAGAGGACACATGAACAGGAATGGAGAATATACACATGTTTTAGCATGAGGGGCTAAAAAACACCAGCGATACTTAGCTCATTTAAAGTAGGATTTGCCTCCTCTTTACCTCCCTCGTGACTCCCGCAGGACTCTATTGTCTTTGTCAGTCTTCGTCTGTCTGATGCTCCAGGAAAGAGATGCCTAAAATGGACACCAGTCCTGATGGCTGAGTTGTCACAGCTGTGGGCCCACGCCCCTTTAATCAGTTAACTCTCTGCAGCTGATGGGCACTAGTAGAAACTGTGTGACTTCAATCAGAATGAGCCTTCAGGCTTATTGTACTGCACTTTTTACAGACAAATGTCAGAATAAACCCTTGTTACAGAGGTTTTAAGTTAACACTACTACAATTTAATCAAAGTGAACCCTAACAAGCAAATGGTTCAGTTTTAAGATTTCTGAAAAAACAAGTTACCCAGATTTCTGCCTGAAAAACAGGTATTTTAGCTGTTCTGAGATTTCAAAAACACAATTTTAGCCCTAACTACAGAACAATTATACAGAGTAGAATGAATGAAACCAAGAGGTGTAGAAACTAAAATAGAACTTACACAGGTTTCTGAATCAGCAGTGAGTCCTATCTGGTCAAGATTGCACACTGCAAATAGTGAACAGGTTCTCAAAAAGGGAAGAACCTGAAACCACCACTGAACAAGACACATGAGTTGAAACGTCAAGACTGGGCCAAGAAATATCTGAAGAAAGATTTTTCAAAGGTTTTATGGACTGATGAGATGAGGGTGACTCAAAATCAACTCCCACATCTACTGCTGGTTTTTAGAAGACACTTTCTTCCATCAGTAGAACAGGAAAAAGTCTGTATCTTTCAAGAAGACCATGATTTTATGCAGGACAATGCTCCATCACATGCATCAAAGTAGTGATGGCAAAATGAAGCTTTGAATGAAGCATCGAACCACTTGGACAATTGTGTCGGAAATAGGTTCATTTCTCGAAGCTTCAGTTACAGCGACCTCTCCTGGCGAAGTGCAAGGCTGCAGTGGGTTTAACGTATCTTTGCCTTGAAATAATGAACTGAATATTCGATGCACACACACACTAAGACTGAATATCATGTTCTATTTGCAATTAAAGATTGATAATTGTGTGTATTGGGTTATTGAGAAGAGACTAGAGAGTGCTGGAATTTTTTTTGGGCGGAGAGTGCCTTTAATCAGTTATTAAAGTATTAAAGTTGAAGAGCAATGATCAAAAGTTTGACTATTCTGGGCTTTGAACCAGATGCGAGGAGGACATCGCCGCATCCTGGCCGCCGGCTCTATCCACTGGGCTATCTATTCCTTAAACTATTGAAGTGTTTTTATAGTAATTATTGTCTTTTTGTTCACAACTTCTCCACATTTCAAAGTGTTTCCCGAGCCAGAACGACCTATCTTTCTTCCTGGCTTGCTCTATAATGATCCAATTCAAATGCAATACCAACAACAACTCAACAGCAACAACGCAAACTACGACAACAACCCACACATTGCGCATTGTTTAGAGCGGTTATAAAGTGTTGAAGCGCTCAAATTCGAAACTGTTTCAACCTGTCACCTGTCAGAATAGAGACGAGGCAGTGCATTGAATCACCTGATAGGACGGCGAACCAGTGAGTTGATTCATTCAGGAAATGAAGCAGTGGCTGCTTCGGATGTCATATGTCACGTGATTTGAAGCAGTTGCTGCTTCGGACGTCACATGTCACGTGATTTGAAGCAGTTGCTACTTCGGACGTCACATGTCACGTGATTTGAAGCAGTTGCTGCTTCGGACGTCACATGTCACGTGATTTGAAGCAGTTGCTGCTTCGGACGTCACATGTCACGTGATTTGAAGCAGTTGCTGCTTCGGACGTCACATGTCACGTGATTTGAAGCAGTTGCTACTTCGGACGTCACATGTCACGTGATTTGAAGCAGTTGCTGCTTCGGACGTCACATGTCACGTGATTTGAAGCAGTTGCTGCTTCGGACGTCACATGTCACGTGATTTGAAGCAGTTGCTGGTTCGGACGTCACATGTCACGTGATTTGAAGCAGTTGCTGGTTCGGACGTCACATGTCACGTGATTTGAAGCAGTTGCTGGTTCGGACGTCACATGTCACGTGATTTGAAGCAGTTGCTGGTTCGGACGTCACATGTCACGTGATTTGAAGCAGTTGCTGCTTCGGACGTCATATGTCACGTGATTTGAAGCAGTTGCTGCTTCGGACGTCACATGTCACGTGATTTGAAGCAGTTGCTGGTTCGGACGTCACATGTCACGTGATTTGAAGCAGTTGCTGCTTCGGACGTCACATGTCACGTGATTTAAAGCAGTTGCTGCTTCGGACGTCACATGTCACGTGATTTGAAGCAGTTGCTGCTTCGGACGTCATATGTCACGTGATTTGAAGCAAGCTTCGAAGCACTGCTTCTATGGAATAGGAAGTCCAGGGTTGAAGCTCCATTCGAAGCTTCAGTGTCAAACTGCCATCACTACATCAAAGTACTCCTCTGCGTGGCTAGGCAGTAAAGCCCTTAAAGATGAAAGAATAAAGACATGGCCCCCTTCCTCACCTGACCTAAACTCTATTGAGAAAGTGCGGGCCCTTCGTAATTGGGAGATTTACAGTGATGGGAAACAGTCAACATCTCTGAACAGAGTAGATGAGATGGGACAGTGACGTGGGAACATATTCGTTTTTTCCTTTAGTTGCATAATTATTCTGCACACTAATAGTTGCCTAATAATTGTGTACACGTAGATATTCTCTCCTAAGAAATCCAAAACCTCACTTTTACTTCCTTAAATATTCAGGTTTGAGGTTTATTAACATTTTGGATTGACCAAGACCACTGTAGTTGTTTAATACTTAAAATAATCCTCAAAATTGGTTCAGACCCACCCTGTCTACTTGGAACCCTCAGCACACCTGTCCACACCTGTTTAGACACAATAATCCTATATGTCCAGATATAAAGATCTTGCAAGACAACATCTGAGAAACTACACATTATTTTAGTGATTTGCATTACTGTGTAGCTCTATAAAACACATATACTTTAGGCACGCAACATAAAGACAGTCGGACCATTTGAAAGTACAGTATTTGTTGAACATCTGTAACTAAAGCAAACACATTTGAAAGGAAACCACCAGGCACTGTGTTGGCACAGTGAAAGAGGAGACAAGAGTGTGTGAGGTGAGGAGGAGCATACTTGGGTGGCTTGAGGTCCCTGTGAATGAGAGCCTTTGGTTTCATGCCATGGAGGTAGGCCACGCCCTGGGAACACTGAAAACACCAGCTCATGGCATGGGAAGCAGTGTAATAGGGGAGGGGTTCAGCACCATGCAGCACTGTGGACAAGAGAGCACAGTCACAACCACCACCACACACAATGAACCTGAAGGGAAACAACAGAACATCATGACGCTGTCAGACACACATACATACATAAAAAGGGCTGGCTACCTTTTTTCTAAGTATTTCAACAAGGTAATTCCAGATGGAAATATTTAGCTAACATTGTTCAAAAACTGTTTTTACAACTCAACTGAATGTCATCAAAGTTATGGTGCCATAGGAATAACTTTGATAAAGATTCAGTGAGTGAGGAAAAGAGGTGATGGTAAGGTGTAAAGCACAGCAGACTTTCATTGTTGGTTTCACAAATAAAGAAATTGGCAATCTGAACCTCTTGGGATTCAAATATGTTCCAAACATTGATGTCTGGGAAAGGAGATAATAGCCTATAAACAGTATGAAACACTCATGCACACATCAATAACTTCCAGGTTATTAACACATCGTTTTTAGTTTTGTTTCTTTTAGTTTTGGCCATCAATTAAAAACTGCTGCATCAAAGTCCAATGTGGCAAACGCTTGTAAATGATCAGACGGGTTGTAAATAAACATGAGTTTATGCAGATTTCCAATATATCACTTTACAGAAAGTAAACCATCCAATATGTTGGTAACAAGCCTTCAGAGGAAAACAGCGTTCATGCATTTCTGGTCAAAGTTAAAGAAGTTGGCTGCGGTGTGTGTTCATTTTACCAATCGCCTACATAAAAAAAAAAGGTTAAACAAACCTGTCCATCGTCTGATTACTCATAATTCTTGACCCTGTGGGACTTTTTTAGCAATTCTAATATTTCAACAATACATTTTGGAGATGCAATGTTATTATAATTTTAGCAATAATGGTCAAAACTAACTAATCATGACCCAAAACGGCAATATCAATACGTAACATTTAACTGGAACCAGTGAAGGGCGTACTATTTAAGAAACTGTTAGCAATTAAGTCAGGTCAGCTTTAGTGGTCCATATGCACTATTCAGACTAATGTATGTCCTACTTATTAAACACAAGGTAAATGTTTGAGTTCATATCTGCACAAGTTTTAAGACACAAATTGTAAAGACATTGTTGTTTGCATATTGCTATTTCCTAGGTCCATGTGGATATTTTCTACAGGGACTAACAAGGATGTGCTGCATGTCACTGTGCAAAGAGATTGGACAGGTGACTGAACATGCAAACAGTGGGGGGGGTCAACTGAACAGGGCTGCTTCTTACTGTATGTGTGTGCCAAGCTGTGTTCACTTCACTAATAGAGTGGTGAAGTCACGCCCATCTACTTCCGACCCATGGGACCTTATTTCTGAAAAATTATGTATTGAAGTCAATGGAGAGAGAAAGATTATCTTTCGATCCCGAAATTTGAATTGTGCCATGAATTACACATATGATGTTTGTCAATCTTAAAAAATAATTTCCATGTCAAAAAAGTCACAGTTTGTCGTAAAACTGTTGAAATATAAGACTATGAAAAATACGCAACTAGAAAGACTACAAATCCCAGAGTCGCGTAAGTGAATTTAGCTAGCTGACATTAACGTTACACATTACACTCGTGTTACTGACCGAAACCTTGTAAAGCCGGTCTCGCATGCTGGAACCGACTAACTCCCCTTGTGTGTATGTACAGTTCTCAACCAGCCCAGACTTGAAGTGATTTTCACTTCTTTTAATACTTTTCACTTCATTCTGAAAGAAAGAGGTGAAATGTGCTAGCGTGACGGCCATCTTGGTGTTAGTGACGTGTGCAAGACCAGAGATGTAGTTCATTGAGCGCTTCACACAAAAAAAGTTGTTACTTCACAGTTTTACGACACATTTTTATTTATTTTTTGACTTGTAAAATTATCTTTTAAATTGACAAACATCATATGTGTAATTTGTTGCACAATTCAAACGGGATCAAAAGATAATCTTTCTCTCTCCATTGACTTCAATACATACTTTTCCCGAAATAAGGTCCCATGGATGTCCCCCGGAAGGGGGGGACTTCACCACTCTATAGTAAGGCAAAACAAATGCTGACGTGTAATATAAAAGTATTGTTCAGTAGTCCACACTCACCATTGTACAATGAGCCGCCTTCAGCATATTCCATCACAAGGCAGACCTGAGCAGGAGAGCATAGAATCAGAAACATCAGAGACACAATACAGACACTAGACTGTATTTTGATGTGTGAAGTTTAGAGATCAGATAACACATAATAACACTCCAGTAAACTCACTGGATTATTGCATGAGCCATACAACTTCACAATGTTGGGATGATTCACACGTGAAAGCTGCCGGAGCTGGAGACAAAGAGGATACGTTTCACACAATTCCATCTGTATGCGTGCTATTCAATACTTTAAGTACACAAATATGTATCACCAAGTGTGTCATTACAAGTATTATGCCACGTGACTACTGATAGCACTGTCATGAAGTGAAGCAATTTAACTGTAATTGGATATGGCCAGTGTTTGTCAACTAAACATGTTGCAGTAATGAGACAAACTCAAGTATCAGCAATTACAACAATACCTCAACAATGAAGGCCTTCCTCTCCGATTCACTCTCAATGGTCTTGATGGCCACATCTTTGCCTTTCCATTTGGCTTTGCAAACAACTCCAAAAGCTCCTCTTCCGACCACCTGGAAATGGACAATTAAGATAACAGTTACTTGCTTGTCTGCAACTCATTCATCTAGAGTGCAAATAAACACAACCTACCTCCTCAACTTCAATATCCTCATAGTTGATTTCTTCAAACGGATATCCAGGAGGTGTTTCAAGTATATCGGCAGATGGTAACGTTAGAGACATTACTAGCTAACGACAGCTAGTAACTTACTGCAAAGAGAGCAAAATGCAGACAATATACAATGTTAGCGTCTATTTTGATAAAGGATGCCCATACTTGATTCAAGATAGTACACAATGATACAACTGGATGACTAACTTGTAGTTAGCCAGGGACATGCTAAGTAACATAATGACAAACGTTATCTAACTCAACTTAAAAAGGATAGCACTATTCGTAACATAGTCTGTCGCAGACTGTCAAACATCTCCTCGGCTTTAGCCTCCTGTCAGTTCACTCAGTGTGATGCAGCCAGCCAACTGCTCACAGCCTAGCTTCCTTAGCAGGGCTGCACTAGCAAAACTGTCACTGAGAGTTATCAAAGTTAGCTTTTGACTCACTTAACACAGGCCTACAACATCATTATAGACCATACTTTATCATTACTATGCCAGAAGCGCAAGTAAAAACAAGCTACTCAAGGCCTAGAGTGTATTAGCTAACCAGCTTGCTAACGCTGGCTGGCTGGCCTTGCTAACGCTAGCTACCGGGACTTATTAGCTTAACGATCTGACCATTCGCAGTTGACTTGTCACCAGTGCCGGCTCTCTGGACATGGGGGTGGTTTCTGCTGTTAATGTACGGAGAAGCGAGGAGTAACGTCCATGTTCAAAATCAGTCTATCTCTATCCACTTGACAGCCAGACATAACTTTTTTACAACTCGTCTAGCTGGCTTGCTAGGAGTGTATTTTTATTCTCCGCAGGAAGTGAGTGTGCACTGCAAATGTGTCCCCCCCCCCCCGCACAATGAGCAGCACACCTCATCCCAGCCTTGGGTCCCCAGTATTTATTGATTTGACATGATATTTTTACAAATAATTTGTTAAATTGTGCTCAAGTAAAAAGGTTCCTTCATTCCTGAGTGACCACTTCTGTTTTCTTCTGTTTTCTGTTCATAATGCCTTCAGTTTTGAATTAGTGTTATGAAAAGTAATGCATGCCTTTTCCTGATGTATTGAAATACTTGTTCAATAAAATTGAAAAAAAGCCTCATTCCAGGCTTTGCAAGGGAAATATGTTCTTGAACATTATAAGGTATTATGCGGTGAAACAAAAAGTGATCTTCGGCAGAAAAAATAATGTTTATAGGCAGTGACTTAATATAGAGAACATATTGAAAGAGTTTAGGTTTTAACGTTTTTTAGTGTTTGGTTGAAAGGCTTGATGTTGAGAAAATGGTACGGAGTTTGGAAAAGGTGATAAATATTAGCAAAAAAACAGAGCTAGACTTGACATTGTTGGGGAGGTATTAATGATGGTGTTTGAACGGCTGAGGCAGGGATGTTGTGAGGGTATCTTATAGGTGGAAGCACAAGCAGGGGGGAAGGGCAATAAGTTGTCTGATTGAAGTACAAATACTGTATTATGCAATATGCCTACTTTAAAGTGGTGATTAAGTAGCTTACAGTATTTGAAAAATAATTAGTTATATTCCACCACTCTAATTCAACAACATTTAAATCCATTATTTTACATCCATTCAGCTTTCATGTTTGAATGCTGATTGTAAGTTGCTTTGGATAAAAGCAGGAGCTAAATCAAATTTAGTGCAATGCTACATGTTAATAAGTACATATCTAATATGATAATACATCCGAATGTAACATTGTCAAGGGCCTTTCTAATGCCTAGTGAATACTTCTTTGGAAATGTTTTATTGTATTCCAGTTATTGCATTTGGTGTTCCTACTCATTTCCATCGTGCTACTGCCCTGCTCCTGACCCTCGTGGGAAAGCCCTCCCATTGAATTCCCTTCCCCATTTGTTTCCTTATGTGCTAATATTCTGATTACTGTAGATCTCCCAGGCTAGTTTCATTTTAGAATTGTTGCATATCTTTGTGGGCCTGTAAATATGTTATAAATGCTAATTAAAGGCTAACTAACTTGACTATTGACTTGACAATTGACTTTGTGAGAAATACAACTTGTAGGAGCATCTCACTCTTGCCTTTCTTTACACACTTTGAGTTCTGCTGAAGTTGTATGTAACAATTTAGCCTTGCAAGCTAGACCCTTCTTGATTAGGCACGAAACCCTTATGTAAAGTCAAAATTACATTTGTGAGGAAGGATATAATATGAATACAACACTTGATGAATGCTAATTACATGCTCCACTCACAGGGAGTAATAAAACAAGCTCCCGGTGGAGGCTTTCCAAACCACTAGGCAAGCACAACTCATACTAATGAGCGCCAACTCATTTGTTGTGATATTGAATAGAGAGTTGTTAATAGCAGGAGCCATCCTCTCCCCTCAAAATAATTATTCTAATCGCTCATTTCAACGGTGATTAAAAGGCTCTCACCTGGCAGTTTTTATGGGACCTCAGTTACAAAACATTTGGTTTGGGACGTGCGGCCAACAGGAAGTTGTTTGTTTACCCTCTGCTATCTAAAATCTTTGAAGAGACACTTCTCTCCTTCTGGACAGGTTACTTTCACTGCTAGCAAAGGATCATCATGTGACAAAATAGTCTAGTTGAGTACCCCAACGTTTTATGTTGTGTATGTAGTACAGGTCCCCAGCACATAGTAACTGCCGGATGCTAACTTGCATATGGCAATTTGCACAATTAAGTTCTGTTAACCCTTAGATCCATAAGTGGGTATTTTTTTACCCGGCGAGGTGGTTTTCTTGAAGCATCTTTGTAATCACATTTTTTTATCATTTCATATTCCAGCTATTCCTCAAACAACATGTTTTAGATATCATGCCATTCACATTTTTTATTTACATTTTAAGAAATTGTAGTTTTTGTATTACTACCCCAAGCTTTCATAAGTGGGTCAAAAATGACCCGCATGCATTTTCTATGGAATCCTATGGGAACCTTTGATTCTTATCACCTGTGGCTGTCAGGACTACATTCACAGTAGACCACACAGACTACATCAGAAGTGACACCTCTCAGGAAGATTATTGTACACAGCAAGATCTGATACCTGTCAGTATAATAATAATGATTGTAAGGGAAACTTCTGTGTAGCAATGCAGTGGGAGTCACCGACTCAGGAAGGAGACACGGTAGAGGAGGAGCTTTTGATGTCAAACACTGGAGGTTTATTTGGAGTTACGGCCGGAGGATTCACATCACAAGTCCAAGAGCCAGAGGTTCTGACTTCACGGCAGAGTTGCCACGTCAATTCTAGAGCGCCTCTCTCTTGTTAGCCCATTTAACTGGTTTCACAGAGAGTAATCAACATATTTTGATAAGATAGCTTTAGACAGTTTGGGCACACTGAGTTACTTGCGTCTGTCATTTATGGCCTCGAAGATGTCATACCTTGGAGTCCACAAACAACAAAGAAGGAAATGTCCCAGTGCACCCACAACAACAGACCATCTGTGACCTAGTGTTGACCGGTCACAGAATGGGAACAATAACATTATGGCTCAAGCAGCCTATGTCCTTAAAGGAGATAAACAGACGTCAGTGTTGGTCCTGTACGTCATATCTAGGAGTCTAGGACAATTATTTCCCTAACAATAATAATAATAATAATAATACATTATATTTGTATAGGGCTTTTCAAGGACTCAAAATCGCTTTACACAGGGGTGGGGAACCTCCGGCCTCCGGGCCGTATACGGTCCGCGAGACCATTTGATACGAGGTAATTTATAAACACACGCAAAAAAAATAAAATAAAGAAATCTAGACCGCAAAATAATTAAACAAGCGAGTGCCTGTTTTTCTTGGCTAAGGTCAGGGTCCTTGAACATAACACGAGCCTAACGTGTTATCACGTGTGTTAGGGAAATAATTATCAAAGACGCCAAGATGTGACATACAGGACAAACCTTGACGTCTGTTTACCTCCTTTAAGGACACAGGCTGCTTCAGCCAATAATGTTATTGTTCCCATTCTGTGACCGGTCAATACTGGGTCACAGATGGTCTGTATTGTGGGTACACTGGGACACTTCCTTCTCTGTTGTCTGAGGACTCCAGGGCATGACATATCCAAGGCCATAAGTGGCGGAAGCTGGTAACTTAGTGTGCCCAAACTATCTAAAGCTATCTTATCAAAACATGTTGATGACTCTCAGTGGAACCAGTTAAATGGGCTGGCAAGAGAGAGACTCTCCAGAATTGACGTGGCAACTCTACCGTCAAGTCAGAACCTCTGGCTCTTGGACTTGTGATGTGAATCCTCCGGTCGTAACTCCAAATAAACCATCAGTGTTTGACATCAAAGCTACTGCTCCTACCGTGTCTCCTTCCTGAGTCGGTGACTCCCACAGCATTGCTACACAGAAGTTTCCTCTACAAATTGGCGTTGTCGGCAGGATGCCAATAAATCTTCAGAGCTGGTAAGTGTGATTTTCAAATCTACATTTGGACATTGCCTTACCAGAATCTGTGATTGACGTATCCTAAAATTACCTGTGAAACTGAGCAGCTGTGTTTCGTTTTTGGTTAATTAACATTTGGGGATAATAAACCCAGGGAATCAGTGTCTGGGGACTCAGTCCTGGCTGATTTCCTCTGTGTGTGCTGCTCGGGACGGAAGTGCCATACAAGCATACATAGCTCATGTTTAGAGATACCTTAAAGAAAGGCATCAGTGAAGTGGAGCTTCTGTGTGAATTGAACGCAATGTAAAAGATTTGTATTGGACAAATCGCCGGATTCTGAGGATTTTAGCGGCCAAACATAGCAGTTGAAAATAAGCAGCCAGAGATATTTACTGCTATCGCCTCTCTGTAAAAACACGGCTCCAGCTGCAGCCGCGGGTGTGTGTGTGTAAAACCTCCCCGTGTGTGTGGGGCTGGAGCAGTGCAGGCTGAGAGGGAGAAAGTCACAGCTTATTGCCTATCGGCTTTAACTCACAACACCGCCGTCTCTATTGCAACGGGACGGTCTAAAAGCACCCGTTGTTTAGGACCGCTTTCTCATGGTTAGACGGGCCAGCACGAGGTGTGTGCATCGCCAGATGCGCCACAGTTCCCTAGACATTGAGGAGCAAGTGGCGGTCAGGGGTGCATACATAAAATTATAGGCTAATTGATCAGAGGTGTGTAGTGGCAAGCAAGCATAGGCAAGCTGTGTTTCACCTTGAGGTGAACTCGATAGCAAGTATATATAGGCTGGTCGTACGGACTACAGTCAACTGAGCTGTTGTTTGGATAGAAAGGGCAGGGAAAAAGTCTGTGGGCTCCGATCGGGGGGGCACAGCGCCACTAGAAACAAATAGCCTAGTGGTTGTCGCAAGAGGATAAGCTAGTTATCGCTCTTGGACGGCTTTCAGGCACCGATAAATCACTTGTATACAAGGGTGAGGCGTGAGAAGATGCCCCACTGGAGATAATTCCCCACCCCCTCTAAGATCTCTCTTAAATCCAGACTAATTTTGAGCTGAAGAGCTTTGCTGTCGCGCTGGTGTTTATTGCGAGTTCATGTTTTGTTTGTCTGATTGTTTGTATGGGGGGTCTATATTGGTTTGTCCCGCCGTCTTGTGTATGTTTTGTAACAACTAATAATGAATCAGTCCATAGACAGGGTAAAATGAACTAAACTTTAGTTATCTCACAAAAAGTAAATGACTTGAGAAAAATAAATAATATAAAGACAAAAAAATTCTGGTCGTATAAATGTGCTGCAAAATGAAAATAAATAGCAAAAGAGTGTTTTTATGTCCTGCCTCTGAGTGTGCAGGGGAAAATGTAAACAAGAAGCCCACTGTTCAAGGTGAGCGCTAGGTGTAGGAAGAAAAGAAGATTATATTGCTTTAAGAATCCA